CCCCCCCCGCGAGCCCCTCCCGGGGGAGAGGCCGGTGCCGCGCCGCCTTTCCTCTGGAGAGGCGGAAATCCAGCGCGGGGTTTGCGGGGAGCTGAAGGAGTGCCGGCGACCTGCCGGCGAGGAGGTGAGGGAGGCAGGCCCGGCCGCCCAGCGCGGGGGGGAGGAGGAGAGGGGAGGGGAGCCGGCGGCGCTTTGTTACGAGAAGGGAGAGACCAGGGGGCTGCAGGGTGGGGTTGTCCCCGCCGACACCGCAGAGCGCGGTCTCCGCGGGCGCTGGGCCCGTTCCTCCTGCCGCGGTAGATGTCCCTGAACCCGCGCCTCAGCCGCAGCCTGCATGCCCACCCTGGGTGGAGCGGTCGTCTTTGTCGAGCCGGGACCTGCTCTCCTTTCTCGTTCAAGCAGAAGAGGAGCTAGCGAGGAAATAAAAACAAGCTCGAGTTAATGTTTGAGAAGTTCGGGTGCAGGAGAGTCTGGTAGGATTCTTGTTTATGCCTATTTTTGATGAATTTCAGACAATCGTTCGAAATAACAACCTGCGTCCATTACCTTTCTTTGCACAAACTGCTTTGGGTGTCCTCCATAGGTAGCGGGATGACCCGCTTAGAATATATCTCTGTGTGTGTATATATAATGTAATATTATATATATTTTTAAAAAATGTATTTGCATGTATATAAAATTTGCCGGGAGAAATTTCGGCAAAGTACTGTGAATTTTTACTAATAGATTATTTTGTTCATTTGCTGGGTGATCCGTGATAACTATTAATTTGTATTAAAACGGGGGGAGGAAACACCTGAAGAGTTTTGGTTTTTTTAAATCCGATTATATGTAACACAGTTTCCATATAGATCTCATTCATATTTGTAATATGCACCTAATTACCTAGTGATTTCAAGTCTCAAGGTAGACAGGGTCAGGCCTGGAACACTCTGATGGAAGCTCTGTGAGGAAAACCTAACATTTGAGGAAGAAGGATGTTGTTTACTGCTGGTTCTGTCATTCAAATGAAATATAAACCTGTTGTTGTGACTAGTTTTGGTCATTGCAGTTCCATGCCTCAAACACTGGATGAAAAGGACAGAATTATGATTGATTTCCAATGCTGTTAATTACTGACTATGCTTAAAGCTTCATCTGCAGTTTAAGTTGGATAAATACATTTTCTTTTTTTAATCATTAACTATTTCTGGTTGTAATCCTGTTGGCAGTGGTAAACGAATTCCATTTTCACACCATAAGTGACCATAGTTTGCTAGCAAACTATTTTCTTTGGGTTTGGTTAGTGTAACCTTAACATTTGGGTTAAGTCTTTCACCATAACTTTCTCTTTGCATTTTCTTATGCCTAAAAAAAATATTTCAGGGACTGAAAATGCTCATACATGCCAACCTGAAGTGTTGTGATTTTTTTTTTTTTTAAATGGGCTTCTTTGCAACTGGTTGGAGTTTGGGTGTATGTTTAGGTGTGTGCAAGCAAAATAATACATATATTTGTATTTATGAACATATGCACACTTCTTCACTTGTGTAATTTTATTTCAAGACATTCTTCCAGCAGATCACAGCACATCCCTTATAGTCTTTAGAAGAGTGCCACACAACATTTCAAAGTAAAAAGGAGGAGTTGAGAGATATTTTTGTTATTTTAAAGCGATAAAGGTTTGTGTGAGAGGACAAGTACTTAGGACACTGGTTTGTTTTAAGGCAAGTTGTGAATTGAGCCATGCCAGGAGAAGATATTTAGGATAAAGTAATTCCTTACTGCACATGTCTTACAGCCTGGGCACCTGTAAGAGTGGGAGAGCTTTCCATTCTTTGTTTCTTAAAATTTACTGTGCAACTGTCCTCATGTGCCTACACATTCCCAAATCAATCCTGTTTACTGTATGAGCTATACACAGTAAACTACTTCCATTTCAGCACAGATTCCTACATGATAAATTATATCCTGGGCATATGTCCTGGAAGGATCTTTTAGCCTCGACATGGAAATTGTTTGGGCTTGTGAGAATCCTTTCTCATATTCCGCAGAGGAGCCAGTGGGCTGCCAGAAGGTGATTGATATGTACCAAGAAAAAGAGGTGAATATAAATGTACGGTGGTGTTTTGCTGCAACTTCTCAGTATTCTAAGTTCTCTGACATCTCTGAGTGCTTTCAGTTCCCCTAATTGAAAATGGGCTTTAATATATTGAAGCAAGAAGGCTAAGCATGTAAGAGCTTGAAAAGAATCTTCAAGAACTCTTTTCTTCTGTGTAGTAAGTGCATTAAACTGCTTTCACCAGGTCTTGAGTTCTTTTATGCATCCTAGATCATAATCCTGGCTTTTTCATGGAAAGACACACTTGTACTTGTGTCATGTGTAGGAGAAAATAGTTAGGAATGTGTATGGGGGAAGGGAAGACTAATACATTGTATTCTTCTCAGAGTAGGACCTACATTTCCATTCTTAAAGGTACAGTATTTGAGCTTATGACTGGGGATGTCAGATGCTACCACAGTAAAAATAATAGTAATAAATGATAGTGTGGTATGAAAGCGGTACTTAAGGGTTTGCTGTGGCTCCACCCATGAAAGATGAGCTTTTGTGCTAGTACATAGGTTGTTAATATATATGAAGTCATATTTGGAAATGTTTTAAATATTTACTGATATCAGTTGATCTCTGCCAGTCTGTGTAGCTAAATATTTAGTGCCTGAAGTCCTGGTACCATCGTTTAACTTTTTTAACTTAGTCTCCAAAGTTCTTGTAATTAAAGGGATTTTCTACACACAAACATGCCATGATTTTTGGTCTGAGATTCTCACATCTTTTCAAAGCTAGAAGTAAGATTTATATGCATCAGTGGAAGGCAGAATCAGCCATTTTTGATCACACAGAGTCTCTGATCCTGGTTTTTCAGGGTCATAAGCTATTGGACCTTATGACTTGCTGGTGGGACTGGTTTTCATCCTGTTCCTTGGTGAAATTGAGGCTAAGACAGGTTGAAGCATCAATATTTAGTCCCAAGAATTTCATTTCAGCAGCTGTCCAAAGCAGCTCAATGGTTTGGAATGGTACAATAAGTATGTAAGTAAAATAGATTAGTAGATAGAGTCAGTTTCATTACAGGTCTCTTATTTTACATGTTTTGAGAGCTGTTTCATGGAGTGAAGTTGCCAGTTTTCAGAACTCTTTGTAAGGATGTCCATTTCCTGACTCTTTGCTTATTTTTTTAATTTATTTTTTATTTAAGGAACTTCTGAAGCAGATGTTCTCTTCTGTCTATTAGACCTAGACATTATAATGATTGGTATGTGATACTTTCAGTTTTGTTTACATACACTTAGTTTGTTCTGTGGGATTATAGGTGTTTAAGAATTCCTGTCACCAACACGTGGTGGATCAGGGAACTGTATTCCTTACGCTCAACCACCCAGCTTTCTTCCTTCTTCCACCTTTTTCTTTCTTGCAAAATAAACAAGCTGTTCTGCAAGCAGCAGAACTAATAAAGTCTGGTTTCCTATGGATCTTTGCCTTTGTCCCCTAAATCCTGTCTGCTGCAAAAACTCCAGCTCTCCCATGTCCTCATGATACCACCATTTGGTAAGAGACAGCAAAACTGTGACTAGCCAAGAACCACGTAGGTGCCGGCTGTCCAGTCAGTGCATGCCTGGTGATTACCCAGTTAAGCAATGACAGAAAGTACAAACTGAGTGTTTGTTGCCTCTTTTTCAGTAGGGGTACAACTGAGCTACTGCTACTGACTTAACATACTTAACTTAAACTCAGACTATTACTTATTTCTATTAACTTTGTTTCAGTTTTGCTATTCTAGGCTTTGTTCTACTGCCTCCTCTATTCTTTGACTCCTCCTCTTTTGTCTTGCTGGGTTTTGTCATATTTTATGGACTACTTCAGAAAGCTCCTGTTCTTATGTCAGAGTTGGGTTCTCATTTTAGTATTAGCTTGTCTGTTATCTTTCTTTGTAAATATAAGTAGTTACCTTCACTGGAAGAGGTAAGAATAACTAAATATTAAGACATTTAGAGGAAAGGAATTACAAGGATGGTACGAATGTGAGTGCTAGTGCAGTGGAGTTAAGGAAAAAATATTGAAAAGAGGAAATCTGACAGTGATATCTATTGCATCTTCAAGTAATGTTATGAGGGAAGTAGAGGAAACGATGGGCAAAATACTAGAAATTTCATTTTGGGAGAGTCCTAGACTGTTAGGAATATGAACCAATTATCTTATTAATATATGTTCCATCTCTGAGTTTTATGATAAAAACCAGAAAAAATGTGAGCTAGGACAGCATTGCTCCCCCATTTTCTACTTAATTATCCAGAAGTTTCTTTCCAAAATGTAAAAGTAATTGGGGCTACACAGTTGTAGTGGGAGGGAATGGGGAAAGAAGTGTGGAAAGATAAAAGAAAAAACTACATTTTGCAGCACAGTCATGTGTTAATAATTCAAGGAAACATTGCTTTATTCTTTTTTTTTATGGCTAAGAATTCCCTGGTACCAACTACCCTTTTCCTATTTACTGTGTAAGTCCTAGGCTTGAGAAGAGATGCAGTCGTTAACATGGTGTAAGTATATAGCAGTTGCCGTATTGAGTGAGGCTAAAGCTCTTTTTAGCCTGGCCGTTCGCTCCTGAGGTGCCCAGCAGTGCAAGCGTAAGGAAGAGTGCACGCACGCAGAGTCAGCAGTAAAGGGTGAAGGACCTGTACCTTCAGAGCGCTTAGTTTCTGTAATTAATTTATGTCTTCTTGCAACCCTTGCCTCTTCTCAGTATTGTAATACTGGTCAGGATCCTGCTGCCTATTGGATGTCAGTCAAGGAGGGCTGAGCATGGGGGAGAACCAAACCGACAGAAGTCTTTAAAAAGAGAACTTCTTACTAGCATTTCTCATACAAGTTTCAAATATTGTAGAGAGAAGGGAGAAATTAGTTATACGCAGTCAGCAAGGGCAGAAGAGGGTCTTTTGTGTACCAAAGGCAACTCAAACCTGCTGAAGGTGGCTTTAGACTTAAACCCGAAGCTATCAAGGGCTGGATTTCAGAACCTGTTCCACAGTTCAGGGCTTTGAAAACTCTCTGGTTGTAACAAAGTGCAATGAATAGGAAAACAAGTTATTAAAAACAAGTTACTAGTAAATTGAATACTGAGTATTTTGTATCAAGACAAATTGTAACAAAGACAAGACGCTTCTCCTCATTATGGTATACTTCTGTAACTGTGTAGCCACTAAAGTGGCAATAGAAAACGGCATATAATTATACTATATCTCACCTGAATGTTTCATTATGTATTCTCGAACTACTCACAAACTATTCTAGAAAATGAAGTGTGTTAGAATCAGAAGCTATGCTTAGGAGTTATTTGCTGAAACACAGTTTCCTGATACCGTAACCAGCTCTAATTTGTGTTTGTTTTTTTGCTTTCAACATTGTTTTCATAGGATTTTTGGCTTCTTGGAGAAACAGTAGAAAATGCAAAACGAAATAATAAAGCCTGCTAAATACTTCTCAGAAGTGGAGAAGAGTGTGCTGCTTGCATTAGTTGAAAAATACAAATACGTGCTTGAATGTAAAAAAAGTGATGCAAGAACTATTGCTCTGAAACAACGCACCTGGCAAGCACTAGCTCATGAATATAATTCACAGCCCAGTGTATCACTGCGAGACTTCAAACAGTTAAAGAAATGCTGGGAAAATATCAAGGCACGGACAAAAAAGATAATGGCACATGAAAGGCGGGAGAAGGTAAAAAGAAGTATTAGTCCACTTATAAATACTCACATCATAGGGAAAGAGAAGATTGCCAGCATAATGCCTGAGCAAATGTACTTTTTGCAGAGCCCACCAGAAGAAGATTCTGAATATCAGCCTGATGCTTCTAGTCAAGGTATAAATGTTACTGTAATGATGCAAGTAGTATTGTTTTGTATGTGATTTTTGCCAGTGATTCTCTTTCAGCAGTCTAAATCTCTCCACTTAGCTGTGACTGCTGGTTATAGAAAAGTAATTTCACAGCTATGATATTACAAGACTCTGTGTATTTCCCTAGGCCCCCAGGAGTTAAACTGAGGTTTTACTCAATTTTTTTTTCATCAGTTTTTGACATATCTGCTACTTTGTGGCAAGCATCACAACAGCTATCATGCTGGCTTTCCAGAGAACAGTCCCAAGGATATTTTGATCCTTATAAAGTATCATTTTGTTGGGAAAAGGTTGTCTGAGCATTAAAAAAAAAAAAAAAAGCCACCAGCAGCAAATTGATACACAATTGTCTGCTGCAAGAGTTCCCTGTAGGTCTTTCCCCCTTTGTTTTCAAGGACTAAAAAGAGTATGTAGAGCCATATTTCACACTGCAGTCCACACTGGAGAATGGCCTTCTTGAAAAAGTGCAGCGCTACATTCTTCTTCATTTGGCAAGCATGCACAGAAGGAATAATCCAAAACCAGAAGGGAGGGTGGCCACGGCAGTTTCTTGCAAACTTTATTATGTCAGAATCACACACAGAAGACTGTCCTTGCTCAAAAGACAACAGTAACTAACTACATTGTTAGACAATATTCTTACAATGTCTCTTTCATAATTGTATTTACCGTAAGTAGTAATCAGGATTTGTAAAGGAATGTATTCTGAGACCCTTATTTGCAGTGGTTACTATTTTATTCCATGAGTAGTTTCTCTTATTTCAGTAGAATTGGTAGAACCTTTCAAAGTTAGAATAATGTAATTTTTTCCTAAAAATATACACCACTGCACTTACAGCATGTACAGTAGCGATAAGGAAGGAATAAGTAGTATTCTTCCTAGTATTTCCTCAGTCTCTTGGTATTAATGTTGATGCAGCTCTTCACCCGACATTCAAATCTTTCATAAAAGTACTGCAAGTCATATACGGATTTGGCTTGAACAGCTGCGTGAAGGTTCAGCTCCAGGCTCAGCCACCTAAATTTAGGTGTCCACTTATAAATGTCTACATGCACTTCAGCATTCTGAGCTCCTATTATAGCCATGGAGGTCTATCAACAGAGCCCAAAGTGGTTCAGTTCAGACCATTATGTCCTTAGTGTGCTGTAACAGAACTGCATTATGTAGTGGCTCCTGTACTATGGTACAGAAGCACAAGGTTTAGATGTATACACCAATAACTATATTATCACAAGTTCGTGTTTCTTGAGGGAGAAGAAGGGAATGCTATAATACTGTTTCCTCTTATGTTTTGCAGAGTCATTTGTTGTCTCAAATAGAGAACTCTGTGACGAAGAGAAAGAGCTGGTACATTTCCCAGTATGTGAAGGTACCTCCCAACCTGAGCCTTCATGTTCTGATGTCAGAATAGCAGCAGATAAGAACTACAGAAGTAAAGCATCTCAGGAAAGTGCTCTGAAAAAGATGCATGAGGAAGAACATCATCAGCAAATGTCAATTTTGCAACTGCAGTTAATCCAAATGAATGAAGTTCATGTGGCAAAAATACAGCAAATAGAAAGAGAGTGTGAGATGGCCGAAGAGGAACACAGGATAAAAATGGAAGTGCTAAATAAAAAGAAAATGTATTGGGAGAGAAAACTGCAGACCATCACAAAAGAATGGCCTGTATCATCCTTTAACAGACCCTTTCCTAATTCACCGTAGAACATACAAGGGCAGAGAATCAGTCTGATTGAGCACATTTATGAGTAACGCGCACTGGAAAGAGGGTTTTTTAATGTGAATGTACAGTGACAGGATAGGTGCCCGGCTGATAGTGAACACGCTTTGACTCTTAATGTTTAGGAAAACAGCGGTAGAGTCCACGAAGGGGAAAACTGTACTGTTCATTTGTAGGTAGTTCTGATTTGTTTAACTTTCAGACATGCACAGTGTTCTAAAATGTGAACATATTTTTCCCTCTCAGAATACCCTAACATCCTTTTGAAATTTAAGGTACTCCGGGTATTCTTACATTGGCTGTTCTTAAGAAAACTTAACAGCTTTAAACATCAGGTCATAGAGTTTATTTTGATTTCTATCTCTTCCTATCTACAATTTCCCGAATGAAGGCAAGGGTTGGAGTTGCTCTCTGCTATTGAGACAAAAGGTGATTGACAGGTATTGTTTGGATTGTCATGCTGGGGCTTAGGAAAAAAAACTTGTCTGTGGTTAATATAGTTCATAACTTATTCTGCACAGAAGATGTGAAAATGAAGGAAGTAGCAAAAGGACTGCTGTAGTAACTGAGCCCTTTGTGTGTGAAGAGCAGTAATATTTTCCAGCTGACTGGCTGATTGAGAGAATGGTTATGGACTGGCCCTCCAGTTGTTTGAGCCTTGACCCTTAAGAAGTTGGAAAGAAGGTGTCTTCTTCCTCAAAAGCCATTGTGCTTATCCTCTCTTTTCCAGGCCCATCTTGTATTCAACTAGAATACGAAAATAGGAGTGTCGCATGCTGCTGCCAGCACTGTGTGCTGTTCATCTGGAGTCATTCTGAGGGGAAGAGCTTTTTAACAATTCCTAAAGCTCTTAAAATGTAGCGAGCCAGCCAGTCCATTGGCAAAGTCTCCCTCTGTCTCCCCATGCAATACTTGATGGTGTAGCTGGAGTATTTCAGCATCTCCCTCACTACAAGAAAAGACTAAGACTCACCCTCTTTACCTTCACGTAGGGTGGGAAGCAGTTCAAGGGAATCGTTCCTGTCTTGTAGCACTGTTCTGATTTGTTCTGTCCTGTGAGTTACGGTGGTGTGTTTCTTGCCTTTGCTGTCAGTGAGGGGTGATGGACATGATTTGTAAGAAAGCATTCACGTGAAGGTCCTCAGAGAGTTTGGGGGCCTGGAATAGTAGATGGTAGGAAAGCACAAATAAAAATAATCCTTCCCCAGGCAATCATTTAGTGTAGTGGGGCAAGGGTTAAGAAAATGTGAAATACAAAACTCTGCAAAGATTCATAAGACCTTCTGATGTTTGAAAAGCTCTTTTACAGGAAGGTATAGAACCATCATTTGAAGCAGTGAGAAAAATGAACAAAACCATAAATTTTCAGTGTATCCCATTATTCAATAAAGTATTTTCAGATCATGATTTGTAAGGGCAAGTCCATACAGTGAGCAACATATTCAAATTAGGGTATGTTACAAAATGTACATTCCCAGTTACACTCCCATCTCTTCCCTGGATGTTCTTTCTGGTGGAGCGAGTTTCTTTTGGTTTTGTTTTGGGGTTTTTTTTTGTGTTTCTTTTTCTTGAACTGCTTTCCCAGCTGGTGATTCATCTTTGCAAGCACTGCCATTATCAACCACAGTACTCACTGTGGTTAACGCTGTGGTACATGCATTGATCCCTTCAACGTGCTAACACCAGCAATCGCAATGGGAGTGACTTATTGCAACTTACATTATATGACAGAGAAAAAAAAAAATTGCAGAGCTGCTGTAAGATCTAAAAAATAGGCCATGCATGAAATCTGAAGACAGATCTTTTTGACAGCAAACTCAGTTTTCTTATAAATTGGCTGCATGAAGGAAGCACAGGACTTCCAAAGAATGATATCATTATGGACACTTTTATTTCTGCTGAATGGAAACACTATTGGAAGGTAGAACAATGATGTGTGATAACAGTAGAGGCAAAAGAAAGACATAAACAGGAGTGAGGACCTTTTTGTTTGAGGTTGCGTTCTGTGGTCTGGAAGGTGAGTCAGTTATTTGAGTGGTTATGACAATTGCTCAGGCACCATCCAGAAAAAAGAATAGGAAAGACATTTCTCTTAACCAATGATGGGATTCCTTCTACACTGCTTCTAAGTGAAAGTAATTTGAAACTATGAAATTGAAACCATGTATGTTAAGGTGTCGAAAGGTGATGGATGGAGACGATGTCAGCACTGTGAAGAGAGCAAGAATGGAGAGACAATCTGGGTCTAGATAACCCCATGAGAAGGTATGAAATAGTCCAGGGAGAATCTCATGATATTTGAGATAAGGGTAGTTTTGACTCCTGAAAGTTATACTACTGCTCATGAAAGATTTTTTTATTTTTATATTAAAAAATAATTTAAAATATGCATGTTTTCAGACTGTACTAAGTGGGCAATGCCTTGCATTTTGGTGTATATACTTATTCTGAAACCAAAAGTTACAGTTCTTAGGCTGAACAACAGACCCTTTTAATTCAGCTTCTATTCAAAAGAAAGAAAATCACAGGAGAAAAATTAGAAAAAGCCAAGATGAAGATATGAAAGAAAGAACGATCAGTACATGCGTAGCGGAAGAATGGGAATGTCACACCTAACACAAAAGGTACAAGACGCTTTTGTGGCACAGGTAATAGATGGCTTACTGGTGCCACAGGCTTTTGCTTTCCCATCTGTGGCTGACTGTTGGTTGCTGTAAGGCTGGGTGATAGATAAAGAAAAATGTAAAAGACCAACAAGATGAAGTAATGTGTCTCCTTGCCCAGCTTTGGCTTCTCCATCTAAAGGCTTTGTAAAGCGATTGGTGCAGTGGAGTTTAAACAACATGAGAAATGTGGCTTTTACAATTTTTTTTTTCTGCAATTACTTCCTCTGGTATTAGGGTTTATCTTTTCTTTTGTTCAACTTTTCTTATGTGTAATATAGCCATCTCAGACAATATGTCCATTTGTTCCTCTCCCTTTTTTCTAGCTTACATCATTCAGATACTTTCACATAGTTGTGTTTTCCCGTTAACCATTTGGCCAAGCTGTACAGGCATTTTCCCAAGGTTTCTCCATAGATAAAATACAGCAGTATTTTAAGAAGAATATACCTATTATTCTTCTCTGGATTTGTTATACAAGTTATTGGCAAGAATGAAATTAAAATGGGCAAAATGATCCCTGCTTAACTCCATAAGAAAAAATATATACCAGACATGTTGTGGCCATTGTTCTCAGCCTCTTTGTTCTCATGAAGAGAAACCATGCCCTCCTAGGCGAGGTATGGTGAAGTCCTTTATGGTCCCAAAAATGACACTAGCCTGGTTCCTAGTGCTGTCTCTCCTTGGAGATCATCTAACTTGTTATCTGGTATAATGTTTTTTATTTGTTGATTTTTTCCTTCTGTATTTCTTTCTTATGCCTGTGTTCCCCCTTGTTTTTTAACCAGTAGTATGAGCAGGGGGTTTCATCCAGAGCTGTGTGTTTTGCTCTTTCCTTTCTCTTGCCCAGATTGCCTATTATCACAACATTTGAGCATGAAATGGGTGCTCCTCACAGTTGTCGTCTTCCCCTTCCACAGAAAGCATGTTCAGTAAGCCTTTTCCACACAGCTGCCCATGCATTTTGGATTCTGCGCACAGGCTAGGAAACAGAGGATTTTGAAGAGACGTTAGTGTAGTGAAAGGGCTGTATAGAGAAGAGCACTTTCTCCATTCCAACTCCGTGTAATTCTGGGAGGACAGTCTGTGACTACAAAGTCATTCATCAGGACCAGAGCTAATGCAGGATGCTGAAGCTGCGTAAGTGGTACTGATTCTTCATAAATACTTGGGGTTCTGCAGAGGTTACGTTTGGGGTTTCCTGATAACAAAGTTCCTTCTTTCTAGGTAGTGGAAGAGTCTCAGTGGAAGATTTTCACAGATACTTCCTCAAATCGAGGCTCTTACCTTGACAAAGAAATGACCCATCTTGCAATCTATTACACTACTTCCTTCAACACCCAGGGTGCTCTATCACAGGAGCAAGGGATCTTGCTGCTTGCCACAAATCCTCTCCGTGATGCTTCTTCCTGCGCTGCAGAGATGTGTTTAGCCAGGGCTGAAAGATACAGCCCTCCTGGCCAGCCATTGCTCAGAGAAGCGGTCCTTACAGAGCAGGTGCAGCTGGTGTGGCGGAGCTCAGCACTCAGACCGCAGGGCTGAAATAGTCCCGTTGCAGCCCTGTGACCAGAGAAAGGAAGAGTGGCTCAGGGCTACCCTTTTCTGAGTTATACCACATCTAGGGCAGCTGAGGATGTGGTCCTGAATTTTGTTTGACCATTTATCTTTGTGTGTTTCCAATACCAAGTGTTAGCGGTCTCCCAAGGATTTGTATGATTACATAGGTGTTTTTCAATGATCTTTTGCAGAACTTTTTTTTTGCTGGTTGTAGTTACAGAGGCTTTTACAATCTGTCCTCCTCCTTCTTCCTCGCTTGCATTATAATGCTTCCAGTTTCATTCTGAATCTCTGTGGTTACAGACCGTACAACCCCACATCCATGCAGTGCCATATTTTCAGGTATTTTTCTCATTATGACATTGAAATGATAAACCACTACACATTTATATATTGTTGCTTTGGGGGTAGGGGAATTACATGTAAATCTTAAAATAACATTTTAATTGTATTTTTTCCAGGCAAGTAAAGTCCCTCACAAGTAGTCCTGTGATTTCATATTTTGAGCGCCTGTTCAAAAAACTGTTTTTATAAGACCGATGCATCTTTGTTGTTTTCATAAGATAATCGCCTGTCTTTTCACATTATTTGTCTATTTCTTCTCAAAGCAGCTGACTATAAACTCACACATCATCATTCCTCCTTAACTTTGCCTCTAGTTAGATATTCAGAAATGTTTCCGTGCAAAGTAAGTACTAATGTGTACTAAAATTAATACATTTAGGCTAATAAAATAAACCAGGTAACAAGATGATAGGATAATATGCAGCGACTGTTAATAGAATTTAAAAAATATTACAGAGGACAGCTCTGTACATCTGATAGAAAGAAAGAAGACAATTTGTTGCCATCTATAAGAATAGGATAATATATTTTTACAGTGAAAGCAAACAGTGATCTCTGTTTCCGGTATCACAGATCAACTGCTGTGCTGATGATTTACAAGGGACTTTGCTTCTTAGACATTTTAATTTTTTTAGGTTGGTTTTTTTTGGTCATGGAATTACATAAACCAGCTTGATTCCCTTATATGTAAAGAAGGTGCACATAGAAACGTGGACGGATTTCTGGGCCTAAAACAAGAGCAATAAAATAGAAAATACTAGCTGTGGCTCTGAACATTTTACTATTCTGGTGGTGAAGGGATTAGGCATCCCACAACATCGTCAGTCATGTTGATAACACTGAACAAATTAAAAACTTGCAAAGGCAAAAAAAAATGGGCTGGTATGTTTTTCAGAGCGAGTCAGCAGTGGAGACAGCTCTTAGCTCTCCTGAGAGGTAACACTGTCACGTATGTCAAACAGTTCCCCCGCGTGGTCTTCACCTTCCTTGATTACTCTTTCCTTTGAGACCCTGGACACCTCCATCATACCATTCACAGCTCCAAGTGCCTGACAATAAGAAAAGTAACCACATCAAGTAGGAATCCCGCCAGAGTTATTAGACCTCACTCTTTACTAAACTGAGGTTGGACAATCTTCTGAGACTGCATTATCCAGACACGCATGCTATGCACTGCGGAAAGGCATGTGAAATTTGTCCAGCACGTAGCCTGCCAAATGGCATAGGCTATACACCAAGGAAAAGGAAAAGATTGTCCACCGCATGGCTGTGGGTTATAAAGCTGTTACATTCATGAGGGCGTATGGATGCATCTCACTGGATGGTCAACCTCTTTAACAGTAAGAATCAAGAAGCATTTTTGCCAAATCTTCTAATTCATCCTAGTCTAGATTTCCCAAGCTGTCAAAACAGCCACAGGACAAAAACAAAAGGAGAAAAAAAAGAAAAAAATAAGCAGTCAAAATAGCTAGAAACAATCTGTTGCCTTCCTGATGAAGAGCTGGCTAGATAAAAAGCTACACTACATATATGTATGTAGAGAAATAACTAATGTAACAGAAATAAAGCAAGATAGATTTTTTAGATCATCCTTATTTAATTTATGTGGGTTTTTTTAATGTTGATTGAGATTGTTTGTTTTCCTTTTGTTATTGAGTCCAGCTGCAGAATAGTTGTGTGCTTCAGTTTCTGACCAAATGTTAGAGCACCTCATTAATCACATTTGTTTGGCAAGAGAGTAGAAGTAGGTTTGCATTCAGCACAACTTGAGATTGATTGTATTCCACACGTCTTCAGACATTTCTTCTCATATATGAGAGGCTGTTCTTGGACAGCCCTGAATCTGAAACTGGCATTATACACCAATTTAGTAGTAATTTATTATTTATATGGCACTAATGAGGTGACTTATAAGCTGCTCAAGCCCTGTCCATTATTTGGTCACGTACAAATCCCTTCCCATTTCTTAGAATTATACCCTGAAATTATGTACTAAGCCAGAAATGGAGCAGCTGAATCGCCCGTATAAATTCCTGCCACGCATTCTGTATCACAGTATAATGCGGGGGAAAAAAATCCTGCTTCTGTTTCATTGTGGAGTTTTGCAATTTTGACCTGTTACTCTCACCGAAGCTTTGCTATAAATTGTTTTGTTCTAATAGACACCTGTGTGTTCCCACAGAACCGTCCTTCAACCCAATGAGCCACGTGGCTTCATAACTTTTGAATACCAAGCCTATGGACTGTACAAAGTCTGAATTGACACACACATGATAAGCTCCATTTATCTGAAAATGATCTTATAAATGCTCTCACATACTGAGACTCAGAAAAGCACAAATTAGGGAGGTGATGTGACGGATTTGGTATTTAAACCAGGGCAGAAATTTTGGCAGGCTGGGAGTTATCAGTGCTGACCTAATAGAGAGGTTCAACCTCTGCTTAAGGAACAATAATGTCCAATCCAAATATTGCCTTACCTCCAACTTGCTATCTAAAATGAGGTGTAATGAGAAGTCCTTGCCAAATAAAGCAACATTAGTTTCCAAAATGCACTTGTTTTGCTTTCAATTACTGGCTTGCATGAGGGCTCTGAGGCTAGACTGGGCTTTATGTTGCACTCCATTGGTGGCTGATAGCATTTGAAGAAGACTTCCCATACTGATTTTGTTCTGTTCTTCTTGAATGCAACACTCCGACTTGGATGCACTTAGCCATGCAGTGGTGCCAGTCGGACCATGGCTCACGTTCTCAAATTGTCTGGCACTGGCTCCCTGCATCTTTTCCGATTACCAAATGAGCGGTGGTGGATGAATTTGAATAAAAAATTAGGGGCTCTGACCAGCAGGAACAACCATCATTGCTAACTGTGTCACTGAGGTGCCTTGTCACGCTCATAAGGTGGCAAATTTAGAGGTATAATCAATAAACGATCGCAATGGTACTTTGTCTCAGCCAATTACAACACTGTCTTCTGGGGTAAATCTTGCTTTTACTCCTCTTGTAGACTGATAAATTAATTGCTTGCTTCCAGTTTATGCTTCCACAGTCCCGCAGAAGCCAATACATTTCTCTACATGTTGCTGAGGGCTTGATTGACAAGTGTAGATCTCCACTCTCATTCTGGTCCAAATGCCACAGCTACCAATGCTGCTTCTGTGAATCCAGCATGAGCGCGCTGTCAGGGAGCCAGGCTGGGAAAATCAGGCACGGGAAAAGCCTGGCTTAAACTTAAGCCCTTCTCTTACACACAGCATGGACATAAGTGGCTCAAGCCCCACGGCACAGCGAACTCAAGCCCACATCCTGTCACAACTTAAAACACAAGTATGGACGTAGTAACAGCAGTGGGTTACTCTGGTGATCTGTGAAAACGGCTTTGGGTGGTAAGCAATTGGCTTTTTAAATTGTTACATATTAAAATCTTCCAAATCATGGGACAGGTTAAAATTATGCCCTGTCAATGTTCAACTACCAAGAGCAATAAATTAACACAGCTTCAGTCCGACAGATTCAGTTTTCTGTTAGGATTTGGTTAACTGGTATGGTTAATAGATCACACAGGTATGCTCTCACCTTTCTTCCTTGTAAAATCTTCACTACTTCCATCAAATTAGCTCACGTTCTTAATAAAAAAATAAAACCAACTATGTTAATCCATCCCCAGTTAGATAGATATGCAAATTCAACCAAATGAACAATGTATCAAATATTTTTCTAATATTTTGTATTTTCAGCTGTATGCGGGCTTTTGTGTCTATTTATACTTTCCACCTTTTTTTTTTCTGAAGAGCCTAAGGTTAAATAATGAGAGATCTGATCTTCAGCTTCTTGAGATGCAGATGTCCTGACATTTTAGATCGGTACCAGAAAAAGGTTCTGGTAATCCATAAATGCAAATACAGAGATATTCAGGTCTGTTCTACTTCCCAGAGAACTAGAAGGCATAGCCTTAATCATACCTTTTTTTTTGTGATTGTGTTTCTGAACTTCCAGTCACAAGATGTACAAGCTGTTTTACCACCAGCTAGCATCCAGCAGCACTAGTGTAGTTACAGGGCCTGTTTTTCAGAGGTGCTGACCTGCTGTCTTCAGCAGGGGTCATGGCAAGTCAGGACTTCTGGGCAAAATGGGCTCTAGAAACCACGGACGGGATTTTCAACAGAGCACGTTGGCTACACTTTCAGATCCCACCGATTTCCAGGGAGCATTGGAGCCTCACTTCCCCTGGGCATCTTCTGGAATTTCCAACCTATGCGACTACGAGGAAAAAAAATAATACAGTTTTTGCTTATCAAAAGCAATCACATAATGGTTTTCTTTAACATTTTTTTCTTCCTGTGATTTTTGAGTGGCTCATATTGCTAAGTGAGTAATAACCTCCCTTTTCCAAAAATTCGTGCAGTTTAACAGAAGTATTTTTACAATACCCAAGAAGTGAAAACACTTTAAGAGATAATTTGTTTCCAAATGTGTTATTGCCATCTCTGCCAGTACTACCGTCTTGTGATGGTTATTCATGTTGGCCACGTTTTGAGAAGTCTTATTGGCCAGATTTTTAGAACTCTTATCTTTCCAATGGGAAAAAGTAACTTCCACTTTAATTTGGCAATGACCCAGGGTATTATTCGAGGTTGTTCCGTGAGGTTTTCTCTCCACCATCACTTTTTCTTATCCTGCAGAATCTTCCCCTATTTTGCGTGTACATTCCACCAGCACTGGAATTGTACCTGAATTCCTTTGGTCAAGGAGTCTGCAAGGATCCTCTGAAAACCTCTGAAAGTGGTAATCTTTCCACGTGTGTTCAGGGAGCTCAGGATCACTGCAGTCTAAATGCAGAGGCACTGAAAATATTGCCAGCACAAGAGCTTGAGAATCTCAAGGAGAAACTTGAATCTAGGTGCTCCTCTTTGTCATTTTTGTATAAGTGGACAAATAATTAGGAAACCACTCTTTCTTTACACCGTGTTGTATTTATTATGTGACATTAGATTCTGTTGTATTTTAACAATATATAAAATTACATTGTGCCGTGTTTGTGCTTATAGTTGGTGAGCATCTAAAACGGAACTAGCACTTAAGTACTGGGCTATTTGTCATAAGATACTTGAAAATGTATACACTCCTTCTGATACTAAATGTTTTAATGCAGTATTGGATGGTATCTCTTGTGGTCTTTGCCTTTTATTAGCAACAGTTTCTGGGTTTTGCTTTTTAAATTGCACTAAAAACTATACATTATTTAAGATCCCCTTTTTAGGCAAATGGTAGCCAGTAGGCTAATCTGATTTTCCTAGCATGGTGTCATCTCACCTGTTGTAAAGTGTTGGTTTAGTATTTTAGTGCCTCAAACAGCACCAAAGCTGGTTCTGCCCTGCATGGAAGCAGCTTCTGGAATCGCACCTTTAAACGAAATTTTTTTGTTACTGTTGTTTTTAATTGATAAATAATGCCCACATTATAGTTTGAATCTCTAAGGAGCTCACAGTATGTCCGAGTCCTTAGAAATGTAAGGAATGGGGTTTTCATTATCTTCATTGTGTAGCTAATTTTCATAGCAAATTCTTTGGTTTTCCTACAGAAACAGTGAGTAAAAGGAGACAAAAGTAGGGCCCTAAAATGTATGCTTTCTAACTGCTGGGGATGTATGAAATACAACAAAAAGTACTATTGGAGGAAGAGATTCAATAATTGTCTAAGTGAGGGGAATCTACTGTATGTCTGAAACTCACAGCATATGTAATAAGGATGATAACTGTACATTTTAGTGCCTTGTTTCTTGTAAAATGTTTAATCATAAATTACTAAACATAAATAATAAAGAATTTCTGAGAAAATGTATCTAAATATTGTTAATAGAAACTGTATATTCACAGAAAAGTCAATAAATCATCAATTATTGTTACGCATTAATTTGATAAGATTTTTAGTCTCCATTCTTTCAGAGTTGTTTTCAAATAATGTCATTTAATTTACACACGACTGTGCTATTTCTGTCTTTTAAACTAAACTCCACTCAACTGTGTGGAACAGAGAAACTTTCTCAGCTGCACTGCCAAATTTTGTGGGAGAAAGTGCTATTTGTGAGGCCCGTTATACGTATTCTCCACAGAACTTTATATTTTGTTTGATTTAATGCTGATACAGTCATAGGTTCCTCTGAAATGTTCATTCTGTAGGTCTGTTGAGTAGATGAGGTTTGAACCTGAGTTAAGCACTAGCAGTTTGCTTCTGGGCAGCCTGTGTCAGGCACTGATGAGCAACAAAAATATTTGGGTTCCTGTTAGGAGCATCTTAACGATATCGGTTCAAAGCCTACATAGAAATCCAGGAAACCAAACCATGCTGTGACACATTCAAGAAAGTGAAAGTCTGTCCCACTCACAAGCAGCAAGATGAACAGTGGGGTGTGAAAACCCACACGGCTGAGTGTTCAGAAGCAAGCAGAGGAGAGGGAGAGCAATGAGTGGATAAGGACAACCTGAGCTTTCTCCCTGCTTCTCTAGGATTTTCTGTGCAGACCAGATGTACTGAAAGCCATGTTGGTATGGGACAATTTCCCAATGGTGTCTCGTCTATGCCACATGTAGAACTTTGTGGTGAGTATTACGATGTCCAGAGGAACTGGGACAAGACCTTAGAGGCAGTTGGATTCACGTACATAAGACCACGCAAAAGCTGTTCTTGATCAGGCCACAGCTCCATCTAAACCAGTACCCTGCCTACGAAAGAGACTAATAGCATCTGCCCAGGAAAAAGTAAACATAAAAGCAAGTGTACAATACTTTCATAGCATGCACTGCTCCAAGAGGCAGATACTCCATGAGACCATAGTGGAATCTTTGCATATAATGACCTTCAATGGATTTTTCTTGTATAAATCTGTGCAACATCTTTCTGAACCTATGTAAGCTATCAGTAACCATGTGTTCCACAGCTGAAATATATGTAGAGTGAAGAAATACCTTCCTTTATTTGCTCTGAAGCCAATTCCTGCTATTTTAGCTTGCTGCCCTCCATGTAGAACCTTGAGTTAGAAACTCATAGGTCTTAGGACTGGTTCAAATCAGATAAGGGTTAGAATAGCTCATTCAGTCAGTTTCTCTTACATTAACACAAGGTTGTTTTCTAATTGTTACAGAAAAATATCAGCAAATCTCTTCCAGTGCATTTGATCAGAAGACAACAAATACTTTCATGAAATCCAAAAGAAGAAAGAAAGGGTAGCATAATTACTTATAAAAATAGGGACGGAACTTCACTTTCCTTCTTTTCAAGTAGCCACTCTTCACTTAAAAATAAGATTGCTCCTTTTCTTCGCTAACTCATTTTCAATAGGGAAGAATAGTTCCACTGAGTTAAAAAAGCCTTTGTGCTAGATGATTGCTTTCAGCCAGCAGTATGATTCTCAAATCGTTTCGTCTTCCTGAAGACTTCCAGAATGTGACCACAGGACAGCAGAAGACAGGTTTGTGCACCTGAAGGCTTCTGTCTACAACCTTTACCTTACCACTGTTGATTCCTGAACAGAAGTAGCCAGGTTTGTGGCTGATTACACCATCAAACTTAGCAGTTTTTTCTTGTAATTGAATCTGCAAGATTCAGAACGTTATGCCATAATCTGGATTTTTTTCACAGCTAATTTGAGTGCTCCTTGAAAAATGTAAAGCCATGAATCAAAGGATCTCATGTGACAAATGATTATAAATCTGACTGGCTCCCCGTAGTGGCAGTCACTACCGTGCTGCCACCATATCCCTTTAGTTTCTAAACCAGCTGGATTAGGACAGTGTCCACACTTCATGCCCTCGGTGGTGAAGTGAAGAGAACAACACACGCGTAGTCTGCTTCAAAGGGGAAATAAATGTACCTGTTGGCAGTAAGGGCATTATTTATCAAACAGAAGGAAATCAAAATAGATAGTAATAAATATAGACAAGAAGCTAATGAAGTTCAATAGTGATAAATAAAGCTAAACACAGTAGGAAAAGAAGTCTTGACCAGCAGACCTAAACACAAGAAAATACTTTTTGAGGTGTACAAGACAGGGAACAAAACCACTTAAAAATTTAAAGTATATAGTCCTGTTACTATATGCCAATGGTAAACTGTTATTGATACAGAAAAGGCAAATGTTAAAAAGAATAGTCTCTTCTGTATTTAGAAAGCAGCAAGATATTGGTTTATGGGTGCTAGTTGATTTGTCATATGAGGATGACAAAGAACCTCACAGTCCTTTCTACAGAAAGAGAACACCAGATTTCTGCTAGAGGAAAAGATCGGGTTTGGGCGGTTGGGATTTTTTCATCAAAATGTGCTGGAAACTTGTACCAAGAGTCCCAGAAATGATGGCTGACCATTACTGCTCAACTGATACTCATCTCAGAAGACTGGGAAAACTCAGAAACCTGGAGGAACACTGATGGTTGCTAGTTGGGGAAAGGGTCGTGTAGGGAAATCTGAATGTAACTAGCATCCCTTCTACAGGGGAAAAAAACTCACCCCTTATCAAATAAATATGGTTTTGTTCTTAGACAAAGCCAGAATTGTGATAAAAGAGTAACTGCAGTATCAGTTACTGCACTGATAAAAAACATATGGACATTGATAAACTCTCTGCTTCAGTCTAACATGATTTATGATAAAGAAATGGTCCAAATTAAATGGCCTAAAACCTGCTTAACTGACAGGCATAAAAACACTTGAA